AAAAAAAAAAAAAAAAAAAAAAAAAAAAAAAAAAAAAAAAACATATACAAACGCTACGCTCATTTACCTTGGTGATCTTGGGGTGGGTGCAGCGGCTGTTTCCAGATGTGGCGTGCATCCAGCCCCCGCCTTCGGCCAGCTGCAGCGGCAGGTGGGAGTTCCCCCCTCCGGTGCACTCCTGCCTCAGGGAGCACTTCCTGTCTTGAACGCACCAGCCGCACTCGAACCGGGGGTCGGCCTTCAGGCACATGCCGCAGCTGTCGCGCAGCGCCCTGCACTTGTACAGGTGGGCTGGTTAGGACGAGAGAGAAAAAAAAAAAAAAAAGGGGAGTACAATTAGATCGGTGGCGGCACGGTGGTGCGGTGGTTAGCACTGTCGCCTCCCAGCAAGAGGGTTCTGGGTTCGAATCCCGGGGGAACCGGGGCCCTTTCTGGGTGGAGTCTGCGTGTTCTCCCTGTGTCTGCGTGGGTTCTCTCCGGGTTCTCCGGCTTCCTCCCACAGTCCAAAAACCTGCATGTTAGGCCGATTGGAGATTGGGGAAATTGCCCTTAGGAGTGAATGTGAGTGTGAGTGGTTGTTTGTCCTTGTATGTCTCTGTGTGGCCCTGCGATGGACTGGCGGACTGTCCAGGGTGTACCCTGCCTCTCGCCCGTTGACCACTGGGAGAGGCTCCAGTTCCCCCCGCGACCCCATCAGGGAATAAGCGGTATTGATAATGGATGGATGGAATTAGATTGGTGAGCTTGTAGGATAGTGTGGTCTAGGGTCTTCAAAGTGAGTGAAACAAACTGCGTAAATCACCAGGGTTTCTCCAGCGTTTTCTGAAAAAATTGATTTTATTTTCCTCCTCTGACATCCATCTGGTCTCTCTTTTTTCCCCCCCAGCCTCCACAAACACTGTGTTTTTTTTTTTAAAAGCCAATCGGCAACACAGCTGCACATAAGTGGGCCAAGCCACAATCACACAGGTAAAAACGAAACAAAGACAAAGTCTAAACAGAAACAAGAATAATATCAATCTAATTTACAAACTCAACCTAATGAAATGATGTACAAAATAAACCGTGCCAAACAAGATAACTCAAAAGTTACTTCAAAGAAAAACAAACAAAGCAATACTAGAAAACCCTCTAATTGGTAGATCCCAACGAGGTAATCAGTGACATCATTCAGCCATTCATTCCCACACTCCTGAGCTGCTGCAAAGCTACAAGGGAGAATGGTAAGTAAAAAGAAACACAAATACCAAGAATAGACAAGTTCAACCAATATTTCAAAAGTGGTAGCTTTAAACTAAACATATAAATAGATGGAAACTGCAACACAATATCAATACAAACAAACCCCGGGATAGTAAATGAAGCAAGGTTGCACTAATGTTTAAATCTAAGCATCATAACCCATTACAAAAATAAATGTATCAAAACAAAAATAAGGGACAAATGGTGAACATACACTGAACCACTTTGTCACAGAGATTTTGTAATAAATCCCATCGGTGATTGGGAACATTCGCAACCCTATGGGCTTTAAATCATACGATTTCTTCATGTGTGTTTTCAGAGATGAGCCAATTTTTTTAGCCATGACCAACCTTTATGTCCCCTCACATGGCGCCGAATAACCAACCCGGGCGAGTAAGTGTTGCTAGATGGGAAGTGTGACAAATGGGAAGCTTAAAATGCGGGTATTTATAGGAAATGCATACATATACGGGAAGAAAAAGGGTGCTGACAGGTAAAGCTGCTTAAGCGTGTCACCCGCTAAAAACTGACTCCGAAACCGTTGGTGGCGTGCTACGTGTGGTTAAAGGGACGTGAAATCAAGATGACGCCGGATCGTATCCTGCCAGCCTCCCAAAAATCCGTTTGGTGGCCAAAACCACAGACATCTGAATAAAAGAGATTCCTATACTGGCACCTATAGGTTTGGATTCAGGGGTTGCGGAAATTGCCGACGTCGGCTCACTGGCACGTCTTATTTGAAAAGGTTTGTTTTTTGGGCTGTTTGAAGGATTCCTTGGGCTCATCTCAAAGTCACCATCACCACAGCATGACTGACAGAAAACAGAGGCTCAAACACAGAGACACACTTCTACCTCTTCTTTCTTAATAAGTTGTTTCCAAACACTTTGTGGTACAGCTAATGCTCTAGAGGACTAGCTGTACAAACTTTTTAAAAGTACATTAAAGCTTTCCTTTGGATATTTGGTCATTGGTCCATCATTTAAACCGTGGGATTATTAAAGTATTTCTGATTCTGATTCTGATTCTGATGAATCAGAGCTATGCCAACACATAAAATACAATTTAGCCTTCAACCAGTGTTGAATTGCATTGTAAGGCACTTTGCTATTGGGAAATTGTCACAAAGCCTGATTTTAATTTAATTTCTCCCTTTTAAATGCCAAAAACAACGCAAATAAAGGCAGAAAATCGTATTCTTATCTCCAACAAGGCGGTTTTTAAAGAAACATTTGCTGAAAAGTGGGTATATGTTTTCATTGTTGGACTTTTCAGTGAGTCCTTAACAGTGAGTCCTTTACAAATCTTAAGAATATGAAGGTAAAAAATAAAAAATGTACGTAGCATATGAACAGTATCTGTATAACTAGAATTTATTTGGTCAATATATATGAACAGTATCTGTAACTAGAGTATTTGATATCATATATATAAACGTGCATAGGTATATGTATAATATTTCATGGAGCACTTAGTCAGAAAAAATTAAAAAACGGACGCTCAGTAGCTGCTAAAGCTAACTGTGGATTCAATTTAGTCTCTATTGTGACTGACCATTGAATTATCCAAAAAATATGACAAAGGCACTCTGGCCACTATTTTCAACTTTTGCAAAGTGAAAAATAATTAAAATTTTTTTGATGAACAGAAAGTTTTGTAGCTTGTTCATTTAAAGTCAAGTGAAACTGACAAAGAAAGAAAAAGTAATCAGAAGTTTGCGCGTCTATGAGCCTAAGAGAAACCAGAACGGCATAATTTAATGTTAATCACCCACATAACACCTAAAACCTTCAGTGGGTGATTATTACCACTCCGAGGCTCTGACGATGAGAAAGAATTCTGTTCCCACTGATAAACAGAGGAAAAAAAAAACGTACAAGCCACCTAGAGGGATATCAGAGAAAATTAATTCAACAGGTAATGTCTTCTAACGCCAACAGGGAATTGATAATTTGTTGTGTGAAAAACCATTCCCACAGCTCCGCAGAGTGGAAAAAGTCATTAAAAAAGAAAAAGAATAAATAAATTGATAATTAAATAAATGAAACCTCAAACACCTGAGAAAGCTGAAGGAGCGGGAGATGAAAGGAAGCAGGGGGGGGGGAGAAGGGGGGTGAGGATCAATTTTAGCTGCGCTTGTTAACAAAACAGCAACAAGGATTGTTATGAATTTATAGATGATGTGGCCCCGAGAGGCCAAGGGGAAACACAGAGGCAGGGAGAGCGAGATAGGAAAGGTAACAGCAGATCCTAAAAGGCAAAAAGCAAACAGAGGAGAGCAAATACTTAGGTTCTATGTTATTTGTTTTGTCATCTGCTAATCTGCATCATGATTATCCAAGATGACGCTACATCACCACCACCTGCAGGCAGGTTGGCTTGCCGTCACACAAAATTTAAAGCGATTCGAAGGCAGGTGAAGTGGAAGAAACAGAGAGAATAGGGAGAAAAAAAGGAAGGAATCTCCTCTCTCGGCAGCCAGACGGCGGCCGGACTTCAAAGCGGGCCTTCTCTCTCTCTCTCTGGTATCCATCTGCCCGCCTGGGCCCCGCGCTGAAGCGGCCTAATCTGATTAGCCGCGGCTCAGCTTAAAAGTAGCGCGGCGCTAATTAATCTGAACCAAATGAATGATTTAATTAACATTAACATCTCCACTTTACGCCGGGGCCAAATCTGGGCCGAGCGGCTCCAATTCAGAGAGAAAAATAAAAGGCAGGGACGGAACACGGAACAGGGATTAATAGGGGAAGGAGAGAAAAATGAGAAAAAGAAGGGGGAGGGTCATTGTGAGAATTGTTCCGACTGAGGGACAGTTTCATAATCCATGTTTTATTGCGTATTACACCTTTAACACCAAGAATGGAGACACTGAGAGGGGTTTAGCGGGAAATAATCTGCGGGGTGTCCACGGGATTGTACGTCCGCACCAATTAGATCGGAAAACGTGCGCCAACCGTCTGTCTCCGACTCCTTCAGAAGAACACACAGCTGGTAGTGGATACCGCCCGCATAAACGATCAGCCACCGAGAAAAGTAAAGTGGCGAGTTACTGCCTCCTCAAAGTCGACGGGAACATGCTCGACAAGTAGACGCACACCCACACGCGGAGAGTCTGAAACCGTTGGCTTCATGCCCTCCCTGCACCCTGCACATGTCGGTAGCTTTACCATTAAAAGTGATAAGGGCGTCAAAAAAACAGGATTTTAGGGAGACATCCAGGAAAAAAGATGCACCTTTATGTAAGAGTGACCCCCCGCTCCGCATCGACCAAATACAGTTTTTGATTTTTTTCCATGTGATGTTGCATGTAAAGAAACCAAGCTAATATATCAGGCCTAGCAACTCATGGAAATGATACAAAAACACTCGCAAGTAGGCTTTTTAGGCCGAATTAGTGGAGGGGAATTAAACACCTAAATGCTCATCATGATCCTTTTATCCCGATTTACCACGTGTTGGTAACACACATAAAGGAAGCAAAAAATAATCCGATTCTTCCTGGAGGGTACTTGCTGGGCCCAAACAAACACAGACACACACTGAAAAACTGCAAACCTCTTTCAGACTGTTGCATAGTTAGAGTTTAGAGAAGTAGTCGTTTTTGTTACAGTCACTAACAGGATCATTAAAGACGGAATTTAGTGCTTTAGGATTTGTTAAAGAATATATATGCGGAGAAAACTTCTGGTTTGACATCTTGGAAAAGTTTTTGGTGAGAGCGAGTTTTAGCTTTGTCAGCCCTTGGATTCGTGATAAAAACAATAAACTAGCGTCCAAACAATTGCTTAACAGACAAAATCCTGCCTACACTAAAATACTGAGGAAATTCACCTGAAAAAGGTCTAAATCAACCAATGCTGTGCTAATACAATCCGAAAACCCAAATCCAACAGAAAAAAAAACACAGCCTTGTATTAAAAGAACAGAATTAGGTCATGACCAGTAAGCAGATATAGTTTTTAAGCAATCTGCAAAATGAACTACAGGTCTGCTATCCATGTCAGATATAATGGAAACCAAGTCTGATTAAAATGTGCGTGAGTTTAATATATTTTTAAAAAAGCTGGGGGTTAGATTCGAAATGGTTAGTTAATCCGAGTCCACACGTGTTCAGAACAAAAGACTGTATGACACACTGGAGACTTGCATTATCGTGTGTAATGGGACGTCTAAAATCGTTAGCCTCCACCACCCAATATATTACACTTGATGAAGAATTTAGATTTGGTAATTGTTTTCCACTACATGCACAAGTAGCGATTAAAAATAATAAATATCATCCCTCTAAGTCGCTTTCTGTTTTTCTTGATCAATCCCTTTATGCACATCTAACCCCCTCCATTATATAGAGCATTTATCAACCTGTCACCAGTCATCGCTCTTCCTTTTTTCTTCTGCCTATTGCTTTCCCCATTTGTTTGTCTTCCTGTCCGACATCCATCCCTATTAATTTCGGTGTTGGGACGTTTGTTTGTTATCATCATCATCATCCATCAATCACTCCCCCTAACCCTCTTTTATCCCCAAGACGAGAATAGTGTTTTTCGGTAAATGAACGGCACACTTTCACCTTTTCTCCCTGACGGCTGTCAAAACTGAAATTACAGAGTTCCTGCGAGGGAGGGAATCTGCACACGGCATTGCCGCTTCGCAGGATAGACCAGTGAGTGTCTGCGGATGAGGCTCTACCTTGAATGTTGAAAGGGTTGTCGATGACGAAGTTTCCGTTCCAGACCACGGAGAGGTCCACCGGCAGGTCGCTGATGTCGGCGCCCTCGTAGTCGTACTGCAACCAGAGAAAGAAAAAACAGAAACTGTGAGGCGAACCGTCGATTTCGTAATGGACTCCATTACAAATTGGAAATTGTGCGTTTGCGACGCGGCTTATTTGCATAGTGATTGGCTCGGACTCGTTCACCGCAGACGCTAATGCGTGCATAAATCGGAATTCAACCAAAAACCACGCGGGTTTCATAAACACGAGACGGGTTACAGTCCGATAGGTGTGGAGGAATGGAAAGCCAGATGGGGAGATGAGGAGAGTTAGATGGAGGCCGGGAAAAGACTGGACAGCTGACAGGAGGAAAATTGGGAAGAGGATAAGGATATGAAAAGAAGAAGAAGTAGAAGTAGAAGAAGTAGAAGAAGAAGAAGAAAAAGAAGAAGAGGAAGATGGTCAGAGAAGGAGGTACGCTGACGTGTGAAAGGACCTCTTCCATTTAAGCATAAGCTAAGTGGTGGGATGAGGGGAAGGGAGCGATAAGATGCGGGGCAGAGCAAAGTGAAATTGGCATTTCCAATTTGCTCACTGACACACTGGATTTGGTAGAAAGGGCTCCACCGTCCCATATGAGGCCTGGAAAACGCACACTTACACACGTACACTTCCGAACTCAACTTTTCCAGGATCGACTCTGAAGGAGATCTGTCCAAACTAAAAAAAAGACGTCATAACTTTCGTCTCCTTCGCCTTTGATGATGCTTGAAGTCCTTTTACTCTCACATTAAACAAGCGCCGCTCTTTCATCCGCGTAACATCGTGAAATTAAGGAGCATCTTGTAACTCCCCTGGAGATCCTTCGGCCGATCCGGTACTGCCAAGAGACCAGAGACCAGAGAACACATCTCCGGTTTTAGCCTTCATACACTGGCTCCCCCTATAAAGCCGAGGCTAAAATGATAAGTTCTCCTCATGTGATCTGAAGCCCTCAGAGGCCCAGCTCCCTCTGATCTGAATGGAACAGGTTGCTTTGCTCTCAGCGCTCTGCTCAAACCATTGCTCTGTAAATTAGGAGGACTTGATAACTGGAATTGGGGGCAGACTTCAGTTTTCCCCGAGGTTCATCAACCTAAACTACCTGTTAAGATTTCAATTTAACTAAGACTTCAATATCATTCTGACAGAGTCCATCATTCATTACTGGATACGGCTATTTCCTTTGTCTTTTGTATACCTCTAAGCTTTTTTTTTCTATATCTTTTAATAAATGATTTGCCGCAAGAAAAAAAGACATGCAAACTTAAACAGATCTGTGTCATCTAAACCAGTCTGATTACCGTTTCTACGTTGAAACAAATAAGGCACCGCATGGTTGTGGTGTTTTCTATAAAAAAAAAAAGGATAAACTGGAGGCAAGTGGAGGCAAGATCTTAACCAGACCGGTTCCCCACGAGCCAGACAGAAAAATATGAGACGCAAAGGACAATCCGAAGAGAAAAGAAGAATATAAACAAGAAGGGGGGGAAACAGGGACACATTGTAAACAGCCACGGGAGGAGGACTGTGGGAAGTCTGGAACTCTGTTGAGACATTAAAGAGACGAGGTGAACACTGCCAAGTGAAACCACAGGATTCCGGGAGGTCAACGGCTCCGTGAGAGAGAAAGAGATTAAACTAAAACACTGAGGAGAAAAAACTCTCCCCGCAAAGCGGAGGCTGACCGAACTCTGCCGCCTTCCCACTAGTGCGGCGTGACCCTGATCCATCACACTGCTGACTTTATTAGCATCCCTATTCCATCCCACCGGCTCCAGCCGTGCATAGGGCCCAGTCAAAACCGCAGGACCCCCCACACACTACCTCTCATCTCATCTTTCAGCGGCCTGGCCCCCATTAAACTTTAAGCGTTTCGACTTGTCCGTCGTCACCGAAACACTGGCCGAGCCTGTTCTCCAGTCAGTCCCTTCCCACCCCGCTGCCCGCCACATCATGCTTTATTCATGCCGTCACATGATTTCAAACGCTGACACAAACCACACTGCGACCCCCCCCCCCAGCCGCGACGAGCCTCCCCTCTCAGTCCAGCTCGCTGGAATCTGTGGCCAGGAAAAGCCGTAAGCTAAAGCGAAGAGCCACGTTTGGGGCTAAGTGTTAAGGTCAGTATGCTAGCATGCTAGCATACTAGCATGCTACGCTTCCAATAATAATTAAAAAGCGAGCATAAAGCGGAGAGTAATGGAAAAAAGGAGAAATTATTCCCAAAACAAAATGGTAGATGCTTAATTAGGCAGTAGTTATTTCTAATTTCCTCCTTCTAAACCTTTGCATGTCTGTATGTGTGCGATTGTGGAGAAAAACAAAAGCATTCTAAATCCAAGAGGGTAATTCAAGTGCGGCCCATTTAACTGTTGCTATGGGTACAACTGATTTAGTCAGATATGGATTGGCAGAAGTCTTAATAAACAGTTTACCGCAGCTGTCACTTTTGATTAAGCGAGGCGGCCACATTAGGTTTTGAAGTCCGCCATTCCGAGTTCCCTCCAACTTTAGCCCGACTTTGGTAAGACATCTTACTCTATCTTATCTCGGTTATTTCTGTTTGGTTCACGCTCATTTCTTTTGCCCACGGCAAATGTCAGTGTGCACCAAAGTTGACATGACAGCTGCTGGTAAGTTGGCACGCTTTGATTCTGTTTAGACCGGTTGTGCATCTGTAGAAAACTCTGCGAAAATTTGATATTTGTGTGTAAGCAGGTCCATCTCCACAGGTGCAACACAGGAAAAACAATGTACAGTTGTTGCTAATGGGACTAAAACATCCCAAAGAGCTAAAAAGTTCAATGGAGTGGCTGAAAATGTTCTATTAAATGTGTTCATGCATATTTCCCCCCCCCTGCTCAACATCTATTTAAGATATTCCCTTGGTTTTGGGGCACTCCAAACCAAACATTCACTTAAACAGACGTGGTGAAATAAACAAATAAATCACAGAACCTGCAAAGATGCAGCCTATTCTTCTTCTCTCCTGGCACTGAAAAGTGACCAGTAAGCCTACCCTCGGCCTCTCATTGTAGTGCCACTCCGACACAAAACAACAGCAACCTTGTGGAGGCTCAAAAAGACAATGCCGAGAATAATCGAAGTGAATATACCCCGCCCTCTGGGACTCGGAGCATTCCATGACCATCCGTCTTATAATTGCTCAGATAATTCAGTCTGGACCAAAGTAGTGGACCTGCCTGACTGACCTTACTACTTCCAGACACGTCCTTCCCAAACAAGTGAACCTACGTCTAAACAACCTTAAAAAGTGAAAGAAATGGTCACACAACGTCCCATTGAGTAGACCTCTTGGTAGTCAAATAGCACGAGTAACGAGTTGTGTTCAATATTACCTGCTGTTTGGCGAATTTGGCTTTAATGTGGAATACCTTGAGTTTTCCATGTGCAGCTTTTCATCTGAAAATGAGACGTTTGTACATCTGGGCAGCAGCTGTAGCGGTCTAGCTTTAACTAAGCTAACGTGTGCTTCTGACCCGCTGAGAGAGCTTCTCCGGGTGTAAAAGTGTGCGTACGGCGCTGACATTTGCAGCTCTCGAGTTTAAGTTGGTGACTTTCGGTCTCGCTTTGCTCTTAAAAAGCGGTGTCAAACACACTGCTGGTGGAAACCCCGGTAGGTAAAAGTTTTCCCTACCCCCCCCCCCCCCCCCCCCCCCGACCGAGAGGCCCCCTCTGCTGGCCTGCCGGGCCTCACTTCCCTCCCCTGAGCGCCCAGAGCTGCTGGAGATGAGTAATCAGACTCATTACTGGAGCCTCTGGCCAGCTCCTTCATGTCACTGCATGTAATTAATCTACCTGAGACAACTCATAGTGCGGACCCCCCCTAGGGAGGAAAGAGAAAGGGAGGAGAGGAGAGGAAAGGGGAGGGAGGGATGGAGGGAGGATCAGAGGAGGATGCGAGTGGAGGACAGCTCATGGGTAGATAAAGGGGAAAGCAAGCAAAGTGGTGCTAAGAGAGGAGAGTGGATTAGAAGGGACAAAAAGAAAGCAAGAAAGAGGAAGCAAAGAGAGGAGAGGAGGAGTAGAAGGGGAAAAAAACGAGGGAGGGCAGAGGGCGAGGACGGTTGTGGGGAGGCGGGGTTCGACGAGGAAGAGATAACAGGGCGGGGAGGAAAAGAGGAGGGGGGAGGAAGTGAAAAAGTGAATGAGTACAGGAGGGGAGGTGACAGGAAGAGAGAAAAAGAGAGGGAGTGGAGTAGGTGCAAAAAAAGTACAAGGTGAGCACAAAGCCGTCCCTGGCCTCATTACAGTAACACAGCCGCCTGGCTCGGGTTCATTCGTTATCTGCTCCCGCACTCGTTTATTCTCCCGCTACATGAATTGTCTCCATGGATTGCATGTCTCCATGGATTGTGTGAATAGATATGGCTGGTGTGTGTGCGTGAGAGAGAGAGAGAGAGAGAGAGAGAGAGAGAGAGAGAGAGAGAGAGAGAGAGGGCGAGCGCACTGGGGTGTGGATGTATGCTTGGGGGTCTGAGGAACCGAAAAACTGCCGATGTTAACAAAACAGAGCAGCTGGCAAGCGAGGGTGGAAGAAAAAAGGCAGAAAAACTGTGTATGTGTGTGTGTGTGTGTGTGTGTGTGTGTGTGTGTGTGTGTACGCATCCATGTGCTGGTCACCAGCATGTAATTAGTCATGTTGACGGATACCTGAGTGTGTGTTAAAATACACCGCAAGCACACACACACACACACACACACACACACACACACACACTGTCCCGACATTTCAATTAAACCGAATTAGATTAAAAAGGGGCTTTGTTATTCTAACAGTTAAGCAGTGGAACTTACACCAGATTCTCAAACGCTTGCCCCTCCATTGTAAGCAAGCATTGTATTTCTGAATAGGTTCTGCTTCATTACGTATCAGTTTTTACTTCACCATTCCTAATATTGCTCTCTCCTTTTTTTCTACACGGCAACGATTATCTCTCGGCAGCTTCTTAATTTACAAATCAAAAACTGCAACGGACTAATAAAACAGTGTAGAACATCAACACAAATGCACGGAAAACAGCTCAACACCAACACCCTCAATACTTCTGGCTAATTTTACTCGCTCCACTGCTGCAGTGCCACTTATTTTTCTACTTTTTTTGTTAAAATTCATTACAACTCTTAACACAATTTAAATTAAAAGACTTCTAGAAATTCTATTCAAACGCGAGAAGAAAAAAAAAAGGATAACTGTCAACTTTGCAGCAGGCAATTGAGCAGAAAACATGTTCACAGTTCAATGCAACGGATGCTACTGTATGTAGCATCTTTTGAGGATATCAGCACTGGTCCTCACTTCTGTCGAGCCAGACAAATCTGTGAGCCGTACGCAAACGCAAACACGCCGACCGGGCTCCTCGGAAGTGTCCCAGATGCACGGACCTGCGGCGGGGAAGTTAATACACACACACACACTCTCCGCGCACCGTGCCTACGTGCGGCCGGTGTAATAAATCATGTAAAGCAGGGCTCCCGCTTGCTGCTGATGCTACAGTCTCCGTCTGCTCCACATGATTAGGGAGAAGATCATGTGGAGAATCTCCATATGTCTGCCGCGCGCTGGGTTTTTCCAAAACCCCCCGGGGGAGGGCCGTGTGTGGGTGTGCACGTGTCTTTTTCCATGAGGGAACCAGCAGGGATCCGCGCAGTTCGGATATCCCGGCGTAAGAGTGTGTGTGCGGAAGTGCTTTCCGCTGTGTGTTGTCCTATGAATACTCCAGCGTGCACCGATGCATATTGCACAGGTCCCCGGTGTATTCGAGCATGCAAGTTCAGTGTTTCGGTGTTCGGTGTTTGGTGGTGGGGAGGGTGGGGGGACTAAATAATGCACAAGAAGACAGTAAGATTGAATGGATGAGTGTACATCCACTGCCGGGCTAATTTTCTCGGTGATTTATTACCCTCCGCTAGCCCAGTCGCAGCCCGCTGTGATACATATACATACACCTCCCCGCTGAGAATACTGAACACAATGGTCGCGGGTGTGCAGGCTCTCCATCACAGACGGATTGCCTGTCGATTTTCCCTCCTCTGCGCTAATGTTTTCATTCATGCTACTTCGCACATATTACCAGGTCACGGGGAAAGCGACGGCCATATTTACTTTTGTCACTCCACTTTTAAACATATAAGCTTCAAAGTTTGCCAAAAGAAAAGCCTCAAAAACCTGCAAAGAAGTAAAACTAAACCAATCAATAGAAAGATAGAGCTAAAAATTCATTTTCAGTGAGATTTTGTTTTTGCATGGGAGCTCTACAGCCTTCTCTTACGCCTATTTTCACAATTCATTACCAGCCCATAGCAGCTAGTCGTCAGACAATTGGTTTAAAACGACAAACCAGGACCAGATGTAACAAAGAGATGGGGAACATATCGGAGTCGTACCTGCCAAATTGGAAAGCTTTCTAAACCAATCCCTAAAGTCACCAAGGCTCCACTCGCCGTATCTCCACTTCAATTCAATCTCAGCACGTTTTTCACGCGTCATGATTTCCTTTTATATTCGCATTAGAGTCATATTCCGAATAGATTTCGCCTCCATCTGTTTCTCCTTCATTTGTTAGATTCCCCTCTCCTAGGCCCATCTCTCCCCCCCCCCCCCCCCTGCGTCTTCCTTTACATTTCTCATTCTTTCTGAGTTCCTTCCACTCGTCCCCGTCACATCGTCACAGTCTGAATCTAATTCCCACACCATCTCGTTCCCCATCTCATGCTTTCCTATTTTTCCACTTTGCCGGGCTTTTCCGTGCACATCTGTGTTTACACGTGTGTGTGTCCGTCTACCAAACCGCTGCAATTCATCAACATTCTATCTACTGCTTCCTTAATTGGATCCTCTAACAAAAAAAAGCTGCAAAAATGTGTTGAATTTCCTATTTTTCCGGTCGCCTAAAAGAGAAAAAAATGGAATTTCAGCAGCATAAAAGGACGCAGACGAATGGGAAATGAATGCACGTGCACACGTGCGTGCGGCAGAGCATTTATTTGGTTTTGCTGAGGAAGGTCTCTGTCCTCCAGCCTCAGCCCCCCCTCAGCAGAGGTAGTAATGAATGTATCAAACGCCGGGGGATGAAAAACACACAAGGCTATTTCCTGGGATGAATGTTGTTGTTTTTTTTTGGAGACGGGGGAAGCTTTCAGGTCTCGAAATGGAGAGGCAACTATTTACAGGCAATCTAAAGCTGCGGTCTCTAAGCAGAGCTCCGAGCTATATCACAGCAACGGGGCAACATTCCTTCCGAAACCGGTCATTAAACGGTTTCAACTCGACGTGTGGCCCTTTTTTTTGTTCTTGCTGCTCAATTATATTCAAAAGCCTTTTCAAGTCGCCACGACGTGGAGGACAAATCCACCGGCGCTGGCCTGAAAGTCAAGTTGAAAAGCGCAGCCGCTCGCACAAAGCTATTTCAGAAACACAATGGACTGAATATGCACAATTTACCTTTCCAAAGCACTAAAGAACAGTTGGATCCATCATCGGGATCTGGACGTGAACTTCAATAGCATGCCCTGGAACTAGTTTTTGAATTACCGCTCAACATCAGAGGCGGACAAAACTTCCGGCATCACAACGCTGGGGCTCAATATTCTCTTTGTAGGGTTGGAAAACAGCAAGAAAAATGCCTTTTGAACCTGAGCAGAGGCGGAAATCAGGGAAATGATATGCAGCAATCGACAGTTGTGCGGCAGACAAAAGCTCCAAAGGAAACACACGTTTTTTCCTGACAAATTCAAACCGCAAGGACTAAGCGGCCGTGATGTTTTTTCCTTCCTACCGTCGTCTTCTGACACTGGATGCTGGAGCTGTTGAAGCGCAGAGCCGGGACACTGTGGGTGCTGCCCTGGATGTGGAAGATGCACTCGTAGTTCCTCTGTCCCGACTGAGGCTGGGGCAGGTTCTGAGCCAGCAGCGTGATGGGCCTCATTACTCCGGCGGGGATGTAGATCTGGGTGGAGGGCAGGATCTGAGGACACTCCTGGAGACCAGCAAAGAAGAACAAACTATGTTAGACTTAACAGGGTAATAAAGAAGTGGAATCCAGACTAGAAAATAACCAATATCGCCTCTTGAGTGGAAAAATATACAGAACTCGAGCATTAAAACTGTTCCTTATTCTAATTCCGCTCTAAAACAATTCCCACAGATTATAATGGATCCTTTCTCCTTTTTCTCTCAACAGCGTTGAACCACACGTGATGCTTTTCCACATTCATTGCGGCTTGCTTTGTTCTCCTCATGACATCAGCCAGCCTAAAACTCTCATTTACAAATGATCGGCACTCATGAGGATCAACCCTGCTCTTTATTAAATGCAGAATACCAAATGAAGCGATGAATTGTTCGAAAGAGTTCAAGCCTCGTATTAATGAGGCTTTTATGGATATTAGGTTATGTTTCCGTCAAAAAGAACCCGTCGAAGAATATTCTTATTCTTTCTGCGAGAGCAAAAATGGAAAGCCTGGGGCTGCATCACTAAGGGATGTGGACAGATTTAAGGAAAAAACGTCCAGTGGATTAGAGAGAGCCGTGAGAGGGGGGTTCAGCACTTCCAATCAGCTTCTTCTTGCTGTTCTTTACTCAAATTGGCCAAACGGTGGTTTTATACTATACATTAACTGAAGCAAATGTATATGCCTAAGAGGGCTTTCAGCTTTAAGTAAATCAAACAACAAGACGGAGCTGTCAGCCGAAATGTGCGTTCCCAGTGCCTAAGAATGAATTTTGTGTTTTAAAAATGTTTGCGTCTGCTTCAACATATGACACGTAGTTACATCATGTCCATGTGTGAGGACTGCAATAGCTTTACACCCTTTGGAGCATCTTAGTATGATGAATGTACACAAAGATTCCCAAACTAGTTCAATTAGAATGCCTCATTCAACAGCACGTTACTCACAAGAATGCGGGAACTCTCTTATGAATCAGAGACAACGTAACAATTCTCTTGTAAAAAGCTAAAACTACCACCAGATCTAACCCTCATCTGGACATATAAACCACACAGGCGTCTCCAGATTGCATCCCATGCCACATTAAGCTCCAGCAGGTAAATATTTATCTGCACAATGACAAATTAGTGGCAATTAGAGGACGCAGCGTGCCATTTTTTTTAGGGAGGAAGACCTTAAGTTAAGCCATAAGATCAGTTTCAGACCAACAGTTACACATAATTGAGCACAACTAATGCTTTGCATATGATGTAGTAAGAGAGAGGGGCATTTGGAGATAATGGATACAGGATATCTTCCTCATCAGTTCAGAAAATGCAACCGCTAGCAATTAGTTTTTTTTAAGTAATTGTGCAAAGTGTGAAACAGGTCAAATAGTCGTGCTTCAGGAAACTGTGTTTAAAAATCCACTGAAGTAAGTTTCTTTCTAATGAATTCTTACTAGAAATGTCAAACATGCTGTGCATAAAAACGGAGCAAACGTATAAAATCTGGAGTATTTCGCCCTGGATATGAAGGAACTGCTTAGTTTTGCTGTTCAGTCTTTTCATTTCCATTCAAACTCGTCGTTTCCCATCTGTCACCAAGACTATGTTTGAGCAAAAAGGTTAAACAACTGAAAAAGAACAGCCAATTCAGACTAACGATCCTTAGTGATGAGATATTTGATCATTAACGTAACTAATAATTTGATCAAATCTGTGTCCTATAGGTTTGTGGAGGGGGCGTGGCGCTCAGCTGCAGGGGGGAGGGGTGGAGAAGGCTCAGGTGAGCAGTGCCAGGGGAGATGATTAGGCACACCTGGAACCGGTTGACTAATCACTCTCCCCTCTGTAAAAAGAGTAGTGTGCTGGACCTGGGGAGGACTGGTTTTGGAGAGAGCTGGAGCAGGACCCGCCACCAGCTCGGGATCGGAACCAGAACGGCGCATAAGAAACGGAGAGCCCGAGCCGGGCGTGTGCGTGAGTGTGTGTGCGTATGAGAGAGTGTGTGTGCGGGTGGCACACACGCTCCAATAAACAGTTTGAACAACAACCTCTGGTCAAGACACTCTGTCGGGGCACCCACAGTGGCACGACTGCCACAAGGTTCAAGTGAGTTTTTCTTTTCTCCACGTTACAGAGATGGAAAAATGAAAACAGGAACCAGAAGACTGACCATTTTCACTTTCTTTCCTGGGTGGAGCCGAGACACAAATGAGAGAAGGTGAGAAGCCACTTTAGCGCAATCAAATGCGACCCCCCGACTAGTTCTCCAAGAGTTTGTGGTCCCAGCCATTGTAAATATTTCAGCACGATCAAGCATCTGCTCCGAATGCGCGCGGACATCCTGCCTGGCCGCCAGTCGCACACACATACGGCGCACACATGCTGGGACAAATGCACATCTGTGCTCCCCTCTGCTCATCTAGTTCACTGTTGCTTCAACACACACACACACACACACACACACACATATACACACACAGACACATTCTTCTAAGGGCTGTTCCTTATTAGAGATGCATCACAGTCGTAATGAAAAGCACAGTGCTGCATTCCTCTGAGGAACATGATAGTATGCACACACACACACACACACACACACACAGACACACACATTTGCCTAAATATGCACACAAAGACTTCACTCACATAGGGCTTACACGTATAGTACAAAGAGACACAATTGCGTAAACCCATAAAGGAAAAAAAAAAAAAAAGAGGAGAGATGCACAAAAGGGGGCAGGAAGTGAACAAAAGATTCAAAGCAAAGGATTGTGGGAGCTGTTTCATTAGGAGCAGTGACAGGTGTCTGAGCTGAGTCTGCATCAGATAGCGGAGATAGCGGCGCTTCACAATGGAACACAACAATCTGCTTCACCTGGGGGATTCCTCTTATCCCCCCCCCCCCTTTCTCTCCTCTTTTCTCTATTCCTGCCTCTCACCGTTGAACTTTTTTTCTATTCTCTGGAGCACCCCTCTCTCCAGCATTTCGCTCTCATTTAAACCTTTTCCTGGTCTTCTTTGTGTGTGTTGGGATGACATGTAACTCTACCTGCCGTCATATGTCTTTTTTCTTTTTCAAGAACACCTTTTCTTCGAGATGCATACAAGGATTTTTACCTCTCAGTACAGGGTACTCGGTAGAAATCATCCACTAATATTATCATCTTAAGATCTTAATTAGCGACGAGTGCTAATAGAATAATTGGATGAGAAAGAGGTGAAGTGAGAGGCAGGGATGGAACAATTTAAGGAAGCAGGGTCTGATGAGCTGCCAAATCGTTTTTCTTATCAAAACAGATTAGAATTGAGGGGGTCGAGCCCCCAACCCGATGTGGAACGGGGGTCCTAAAGAGCTCTCATCTGTGCAAACTGATTCCGTTCCGTCTAACACAGACATGTGTTGATATGTTAAATATTAAATCTAGCCTAATATGCGTAAAGTATTCATAACATACAGAAAATGTAATATGTTTGCATTTTTCTCAGTAAACACACACACAGACACACACACACACACGGATGGTAGGTTAAATCTGCCTGCTGGCTTTGTGCAGTAAACGAGTGCTGAAGCCTGTGGAGTGTTTTACAGTAGCCGTGGGGCTAAACACACATATTCAGTGATCAAAGGAGGGAGGGTAAGCCTTCAGAAAGAAATTAGCCTGAGATCCTCTTCCTTACTAACAGCCTGAAATCTCTATCGGGTCTCTTCCAGCGACCGAAGGCTTGCACACCGCACTCCACTGTGTTACAGAGCTGGAAAAAAGAGGTTTTTAACTAAACGGAGGCCATTGGGTGATCAAACTGGAAAACAAACAAAATTATCATCTCATTATCTTCTCATAACACCAAAAAAGTACTTCGACCAGCTCGTTGTCAGTAGGACAGAGGTGGTGGATCAAGCCATCATCCAGACCTCTCACACTTTAAACATTTAGACCTTTCATCCTTTAATCATTTCCAATTAGAATCAATTAAAATCACCAAACCCAACGTGGAGTGTACGATTCTAATCAAGTAACATTAGAACATCAGCTTCTTTTGTAAGATACATTTGGATCCAGCAGTGGTGTTTTAAAAGGAAAGGATGTTGTAAAATAATCTGTCAGACTGACAAAGCTCTAAAATGAAGTAGTGGCAACAGAAGAGAATTAGAAACACAACCAGAAGTGTAAAATAAAGCTGCTCAGTTGTTGTCGTAAAGTATAACGTGGAGAAAAAAGGCCCGAGCATCAGATCGGTGCAGAACCGACACTGAAGTCTTCATCTGTGCTCGTCCGTGTCCGTTTTCTAGTTCAGGCCCCCGTAACCCGAGTTGGCAGTGAACAAAGCTTCAATTAAAAGGTTTGGATATGGAAAAAGAAAAAATGCACAAACTCTGCTTCGGGCTTAACTTTGGGATGCGCGAAAGAAAAAAAGGATTGGATTGAAACTTAGTCCCGATTGAAGAACGGCAGGCTTAAAAGCTACAGCTGAAGCAGTTGGTTAGTCATTTATGTGCCATCGTGCATCACAATGCGTAGGAAAAGTAACGACTTATTAAATATGAACCCTGAAATGTGCTCTCTGGATTTCACATATGTAAAAAACAAATACATTTAAGAAATGTAAAAAAATAAAATAAAAAGAAAAGCTGTAGAGAATCGTTGACTTGGGGTTTAATTGAGAGCACAGACTCCGTGCACATGTCCGTGTTTTCAGTTGTTTGCCTTTAACAGTTCGCTCAGGATATCGTCAGTGGTTACATAACCCAACACCTAAGGCTTTAGATGTACTGGTTTATTTTTCCAAGGGATCAGCCACAGATTAGTTTTCCTATCTCCAACTCCTCTTCTGCACTCTATAAATTCGGCCTCACATTTGATCTTCCCTCCTGGTCTCTACCTGCCCTGCAGTTTATTTAACCAGGAGGATGCCTGGAGTCATGAACTCCAGCTATCTCGGATGCCCTGCTGCATTTTCATATTGACTTTTCTCCTCTACAGCCCCCCCTACCACCACCTTACTCTGTTATCCTCCTCCTTCACTCTTCACTGACTCGTGGGAGATGTTTTAGGGGGTAAAAC